TGAGTTTTACAGGTCTTGCTCACAAACTAAATAGAGGGAGTACAAGTTTTACAGAGATACCTATTCCTTTTCACTCCAGGCTCCTCTTCCAAAGCCCCTTTTCACTAATTCACAACATTCTCTAATAGTGGAAAATACCATCCTATATACAATATGTATTATTACTCTTCCACCTTCATGTCCTCTAACTGGCAGGACTGAGAAACTCCAGACCATTCCAAGGAGCAGCTGCCCTTTGCTACCCTATATTTGGGCAGGGGCCAGGGAGGGTGCCAAGTGTGAGACACCAGCATTTCCAAACAGCCAGGCTTTCATGTAAGACATAAATGATAAATCCATATATTCCCTCTCAGAGTTATTCTTTTTTTCTCTCAAGGATAATCCAGAAAGTTTAAGTGATGTGCTAACGCTGAGAGCTACATGTCTGCCTCTGTGGCAGTGAGCCCTGTGCTCATACGCTTTTCTCCAGCCAACCTTTTTGGCTCCTGTGGAGCCTGTGATCTCAGTTCCGTCACTCTCTGCCGGGTCCCAGATCAGCTGTCCCAAGCCAAGGCTTCCCCTCAGCTGTCACTGATTGCACAATGCTGCCACATGAAGCTTTTCTGGCCAGCCAGCCAGCTGAGTCACTCACTGATAAGCTTCTGATCATGTAGCTTCTCATGTGGAGAACTCCCATGGTGTGAAGGGTGATGTTATCAAGAACATCGGTCCAACACAAACTTTAAGTACGTGAGTGACATGAAGCACGTGAGTGATTTTGCTAGCTGTCACTGGACTTTACTTGCTTTAGGGTATCACAAGTTTAACTGCTTTGCATAATCACAGCTCAAGCAGATACCTGAGAACAAGAAAACTTTGTCTCTTTTCACAAAAAGTTTTAAGGCTGCTTGGATAGCTGCCTTGCCTGCCTTAAGTGATCTATTAAAAAATCTAAATTGCTTCTTATTGTTGCTTTAATATTTTATAGGCAGTGCCTCCCCAGGTCTCCTAAAACAGTGTATCTTGATGTGGCTTTGTCTGAAGAAGAGCTGTGCTACACATCCCGCTGGACTAATCATCAATTCTGTGTCTGCTTACAATATCAGGGCAAGGGACTGGGTTGTCCAAGGTCAACCTTTTTGATTTTTCTTGTACCTGAGCGCTAAATGCATGCATGCAGCCATGAAAGGCAGTGCAGCAGCAGCAGCAGCTCTGTTTCCAAATGTCTCTCCACTGAGATGTGAGACTCCAGTTTTCTTGCTCTCAGTTGACCAAACTCTTAATTTCTCTCATCGAGAAGTGGGAAAATTCATTTGCCCTTCAGCATCCTGTGTGCTACTGGCCAGTCCCATTAGGGTAAAGCAGCTCATGTCTGGTACAGCCCGCATTTTGATGTCTTGACTGTGATCAGACACAAACAGACGAGTGCAAAGCATTATCCCTCCTGCCCAGACTGAAGGTCAAGACAGGCTGTGTAGCTCACCAGCCACCATGAATGGGGCTTGTCTCCACTGCCAAATGGATGCTAGTGCTGAGATGCCTATCTGTCAACAGCAAGAGGTGGTAAATCTAAAAGGTTTATCACAGCCCATGCTTCACAGTTCAGGTCTGGATGACACATTTGTATCACCCAGGTGCTGAGAGGTGTATTGAGTTGGACTCTTGACAGGGCTTATCAGCTGGGAATGGCAGGCCTGCCAGCACAGCCATATAGCTGCTGAGATGACTGGGTTCAGCTCTGCCTGTACCTCACATGCTGGCACTGAGGTCTGTATGGGCAGAGCTGGTGGGTTTTGCCTGCCTCCTTGAGTACACAGAACGGAGAGCAGGTCATGGCTGTGAAGTCAGCACGTCTCCCAAGTACCACCCAAGCACTCAGCAAAGGACCTGTCTTTCCCTTGTTACAGCCAGAGAGGAAATTCAGCAGTGGTACAACACTTTCTCTAAGTGTTCCAAACTCTTCAGCAGACCCACTTGGCTTGCGCTCCAGGACAGGGAATTAAAAGCAGCCAGGGGAATAAAAGTGCCCTAGGACCACTATAAATCTTTATTTCATGGAAAATCTTATCTTACACATGAATATGAGCTGTGAGTAAATTTAATGTGCGGATTAAATACTGTACGGTCTCCCTCATGGTGGGCTTTTCAGCCTAAAAGGAACAAAAGAATAATAATGAGTGTTGTGTTTGGGTAGGATTGCAAACAGCTGTAATTTACAGCTGGACATTCTCCATTGCAAATGTATCCAGCAAGCAAGTGCTTCTGGGTTAGTGGAACAGACTGCAAAAAAAAAATAGCTTTTAACTTCAGCCTTAAGGTCAGAGTTCTGGAACCATGTGAGTCAATAATAAAATCTATTTAGCTCAGTGGGATTAAGCAAGTTTAAGACCTGGCTTAACCACACTGCTTACTGTTAAATAACAACAGAACACACTGAATATTTTAGTTACATGCATTTTTCTTCACTTGAAAGCTATTCAGGCAGTGGATATGGGAGGCAGACAATTGAAAATATGCCAGCACTATACCATTAAGGTATATGAGTTAAGTTCTTGCTCTTCTCTGTCCCAGAAAGTGAGTAATCTATATAGTTTGAGCACTTTACTGAAGAGCACAATAAAATTAAAACCAAGCTGTGCTGAATAAACACCGAGGGCTTTTCATGAGAGAATGAAAAGCTAATGGGGCCAGTGCATCTTTGCTGACAAAATAGTCAGTGCATGTGCAGAGCAACCTGTCTTCTGGAAGCAGAAAAGCTGTTTCAGTCAAGCTTCTGGGTCACTAATCTTTGTGTTTGCACATAAATCTGCTGGGGGTTACCGTGTCGTTCTGAAAACAAGACTGAGTGTGATACACTACAGAACTAAATGGCTAGGTTTAAAAACTCTCTCTTTTTTGTTTAGTTTTATTTTTAACTCGTCTTTTTGTTTAGATACCTGTTATGTCTTTAATAGAACCTGAAAGCGAGAACTGCAACAGGAACTTCTGGAGAGTATTTTAAAAAAAGGGAAAAATTACTGAAAACTTTATAGTAAGCTGCCACCTTTCTTGTTGCTGGGAAGTGCTGGTGTGTGACTGGGAGCTCTGAGTTGCTACTGGGACACAACTAATGAGCAGCAGTATCACAGACATCCTCACTCCAGCCAAGAAGAGACAGAAACTGCTGTCATAGTGTGGGATTTTGGCTCCCTGCCCTCCCATTTGCCTCACTGCAGTGAGGCCATGGGTGGCAGGGAGGCAAATCTCCAGGGTGCACCCCCAGCCTTCCCAGCACCCCCTCCAGAAGTGGGGGAAGGAGGGTACCCTGGCAGATAAATTTTTGCCGAGCAGGTTGGAAAGCTGTAGTCCCTGAGCCTGCTTTTAGGGGCAGACAGGCAAATATTTGAACATAAATCCTAAACTGAGGTGTGATGGTTATTAATACTGAGGCCCTTCTGCTGTGTGGATGAAGACAGCCTGCACCCAGCAACCTCACCACCTTGGACGAGGTAGGAAACATCTATTCATCACCACCACTATTCTTTCCAAGGGAGACAGAAATCAAACTGCACGGTTTGGGGCTTGTTAAGTACCTCCAGGGCCACTCCTGCAGGAATGTTCCACATTCAGCCCAGGGGGAGGATGCTGTGAAAAAAATCCCCATGTTTCCTTTGGTAACAGTATTGTCCCCACCAAGCGCAAAATCTGCTTTGCCTTGGGGGGTGAGCTTGCACACCTCCAGGGAGAGGGGCATAATGCTGACTCCAACTCCACTTTCTTTTTGCATTCATTCCAGTTACAGCAAATACATCTGAGCCCTATAACTGTGCCAGCAATTTCACCCACATCCCATACATTTTACTCAGGATTTTTTTTTTCCTTACAGCAGGGCAAAAAATTCTAAACAAAATGGTGTTTGTAAACTTGGGGAGGGAAAGTCAATAATTTTGGCGGTCTTACCCTCCAAGCAGAGAGAAATGTTATTCATCCATGCACAACATATAATTCAGCCTAAGTGACAGGCTCTGCTCTGGAGAAATCCTGGCCTGAGCTGGCTTCCAGAGTCAATTACCGCTTATTCCCAGGGAGGCGGGGGGTTGGGGGCCAGACAGAGCAGAGGGGGCTGCCAACAAGACATGGGGAAATTTACTCTGTGTCAGCCTGCATGACACAGTACCTCATTTGTGGAAAAATGTAAACCTGCTAGTTCTTTTTCACAGGCACTAAAATGTACAGTGTCTCCTCCCCCTTCTCTACCCTCTTTCCCAAAACTGGAAAAGAAATCAGGACCGTCTTAGAAAGCTACCTTATATTTCAATCAATCCTCTTTCATAAAAGTCATTTAAGGTAAATACCTGTGCAGACCTACAGCCCAACTATAACATTTACTATGGCCCAAATCCTGAATTCCTCACTCAGGCAAGTTTCCCATTGAAGTTAATAGACTTTTTTGCTTGAAAAAGAGCTGAGTAAAACCTGAACGCTAAGGATTTGGTCCCCTGCTTATCTGCCTGGAGCACTGCTGCAGTTCCAGAAGAAGTGAAAAATTAATTAAATTCCTCCAAAATACCAATCTCTTAAAACTTAAGGGGTAAAAAAGGGCATTGTTTTTGTGCATAAAACATACAGAGAATCTCATCAAAGGAAGAGTAATTCCCAGGGAAAGGATTTGGAAAAAGTCAAAAGAGAACATCTCGGAATAAATGAAGTACTTATTGCTGAGAAATGAGCTCAGATATATCTCAGCAAACTCTAAAGCTCAGAATTTACTGCATCATTCATGCCTTCTCCAGTAAGTTTCTTATCTCTCGTTTGGTATCACAACAAGGGATTCTGCATACTCTGTATGAAATACAACAAGACTGTGATTTTTGCAGTAATAAACTCTACACATGCATGACAAATCCAAGCATGCAAAATGTTTAACATCCCAGTTCACAGATACTTTGGGGACAAAATCCGATTATGAGTTATATGCCACAATAAATAGGGCTCAACGTTTCATAAAGCAATTTATAGTTCATAAAAATGACAAAATGTACCTGTCAGATAGAACGCGGAGAGCAGATCTCTGTGCTGCCTGCTGGAAGAAAGGGCAGAGATGTTTATTTTATATTCTGACTTGAAAATTACGAGCACAATCAACACTTTAAAAAATGCGTTACACACATTTTTGTCACATGTCCAAAATGTTAAAGTACAAGCAAAGTAGCAGAGAGTCTATAGTCAAATGGACATTCCAGCCTAGTAAATGTAAGAACACTTTGTTTAAAATGCCAAAACCCGGAAGATTGTCAAAGCACCACACGGTATTTGAGGTCTGAACTACTCTATTTAGACAATTTTTTTCTCTAGGTCCCTGAAAACTTGCCAGGGCTCGGTTTTTCTGCTTTCCCCTCTCCCCGCTTTACTCCCACTCATTCTCCTTTACCATTAGTCTCCTCCCATTCTTCCACAGAAACAAACATCACATATTTGGTTCCTTTGCGATGAATTATAAATTTTTCAAAGCTTGCCAGAGCTGCTGCAGACTTTTCATGAACACTGCCATGTTAATCTGCTGGCAACATTTGCCTAGACAGTACAGGATTGACCTTTTGCTGGTTTGCTCTTCAGTTTTTGCCTAGCAAAACTTTTTGGATAGGGTGGGGAAACATGGCTCTTGTTCTTGTGTTAACCACCAGGTCTGGGAATAGAAACTGTAGCCTCTCAAGTTTAATAGGACTCCCAAGCCTATCCCTGAGCTAGTTTGCCACTTCACTATTATTATTTTTCCCCCTCCTTCAATCACTTCAAGTGGTGTGATTCAGGGCTTTGGCACAATAACCAGCTTCTAAGCAAAGATGAAATCCGTAATTTCAATTCCATAAGCCTTAAAGACTCCATTCCACTTGGACAAGCCCAGAGCGTCCTATCCCCAGCAGCACCTGTCCAGGCTGTGCCTCACATGGCACAGAAGGCACACAGAGCTCAGCAGTCCAGACAGTCAAGGGGCAGGGAAAGAAAAGTTTATTTGCAGTTTGAGTTATAACTCATTGCAGTTACCAGTAAGTATGTCTTGAAACTGCTCTTCCTTATCAGCCTGCTGGGGGCTGCATCCCTATTTCCTAACAAGTTGGATGACTTACAGGTAACCTGCTCAGCACCAGAGAGTATGGATGTGACCATTCTGGCTTGGCAAAAATGCTGCTGACAAATTGCAAAGAAAAACTCGAGGGAACCTGATCTGTGGCTGCATTTACATTGTATTTCACAGAAAGATGTGAAAAGATCCCCTGAATGAATCCCTGAAGATCTGACAGGAGTGGGAAGTGTTTCCACTTGATTCTGGAAGCAGGATTTCTGCTTGTTGGACTTTCTAGAATAACCTGTGCCTGCCTGCTGGGTTTCTGGGGATATGTAGCTTGATGTGTATCATCCACCAGATTGTCAGAAGACACAGAGTGGCACGGCTCACAGAAGGGTTTTTTTCTTAGTGCTGACTTTCTGCAGTGGGCAGAGAACCTGTGGGAAGGGCTTGGAAGGTCCAAGCAGCTCAGTGGGAGTTTTCCTATGGCACGAACACATTGTTTTCAGTGGTAGGAAAATGTGGCAAGTCTGGTATTTTTCACTGTTTCCAGTAGGTCATACAATTTCCATGCTCTTTGGATACAAAATTATCTATGCCACTGGCTACAGGCTTTAAAGAGTGCAGCCACTCTCCAGTCCTGTGGGTTGGCATCATTTTTCCTTCTCCTCTGCAAGGGGTTTGTTAGGACAATGGCATCTCACACATTTTTCAAGATCAAGCTCAGAGGAGACCCAAACCTTAGGTTTAAGAATGACTTCTGGCTTAAATTATTTTTTAACACCCAGGGCCAACACAACAACTCTGCTCCCATGCGTCATAACTCCACTAGCAGGAGGCTATGACCATTTTGAGTTTCAAGCTACCCAGCTTTGATGCTGAGCCTGCACTATGTTGCATATTTGCCTGCAAAACTCAGGAGCTTCTCTCACTATCTGAGCCATTTTCCATGGCCAAGTTGTTGGCCTGACACCATTCAGGTCACCTCCTCTTTTCCTCCCCACGACAGCCAGGGCCAGTCTTTCCATCTCACGCAGCCACTACGTGGCAGGGCAGTTCGAGACACTTCTCATGTTTCCCACTCTTGGCTCAGGCCACCACAGGTGCTCACGTGGTTGTGAAATACAACAGGTTAGAAAACGGATCCTATTGAAAACTAACAATTTTCCTTCAGTTTTGTTTATTTTTTTAAGGTTTTTTTTCCCCTCTCCTGATTTCCCCTATGTTATTTGTGACCTATATCCCTTTTCTGCTGCTTCCTCCAGGAGACGGTGTCACATCACAAGTACAGTGTGAGAATCAGAACAGCACTGGGGGGTAGTGGAGACCTTTGCTGCTGACATAAGGTCATGGCCACCAGCAAGGTCACTTCCACCTGACATTGCTTCTACTCCTTCTGGAGCTGCAGAACACTCCTGGAGAAAGGTACATGGTAGCTGTGGTAGCCAGAAGGCATTGAAGGAGACAGGTTGTTCTGCAGCCACACGCCTCATGGATATTGAAGAGACCGCAAAAAAGCAAACGTGAACTTCAATGATGCTAAAAGCCCCTAATATGGGATGTGGGGTTCATATCACTGATGCATTTTCCTAAAATCCCTAATTTTGAGAGGAAGACATGCTGGATAATTTCTCTTCCAGGCTTGAGGAAAGCTGCCCTCAGGAGGAAAGAGGAGAGGTCCCTTGTCTTGACCCACTTGGTGCGCTAACTGAGCCATGAGACACTGTGTATGACTGCAGCTTCAAGTGCCAGTCTTCAGTTTCCATCTTGATGCATTCAGTTGATGAAAGCTTTGAAAAGGTGATCCCTTCTGGACAAGAAAGTGGGTTCAGATGACAGGCACTGACACAGAAAGAAAGGTACAAGTGTGTTTCAGTGAGATAATTCTACTTTTTCAATTACTCTCTCATTTTGAGTCCTTTAATAAACATCCTTCACTAAGGTGCAATGCAGATTGCATGGGGCACCTCAGTCTTTGCCTAGTGGTCACACATTCTCTAAATGAGACTATTGACTTCTTTCTTACACGGGCTGGAAATACAGCTGTGTTGGATTGCCTATTTGTGCGACCCCCTGAGCTGGTAATGGCCCCATTTCTAAACGATGGGGGAATAAGATCCAGTTGCAAGTTTATTCTTCCTCCCTGGAGAAACAGATCTATTGCCTGCAATGAAAGGCAGTTAGCAACTATCCAGCAATTTTAATTCTAGTCTATATTGCTTCCCTCTCCTGGAGAAAGTGAGCTGTTGTAATTAAAGGTAGTTAGCAGTTCCCTAGAAAGTATAAATACTTGCAGCCACTAATTACAGTCTGCTCTCCTGTTCCCCTCCTTGCCACAGGACTGGGCTGCTAAATTTAGGGGGGAGTATCTACCCTCACTTCATGCTAATAGTTTGTGATCCCATTCAAACTAATTCAGGAATCCCCATGAAGGGTTATGACCCATAGTTTGAAGAACTCACAGCTATAGAAACAGTTTTTTTGTGATTTATTATGTTTCTAATATGCTGGTATTATCTATCTAACAATGTAAGCAAAGGGGTGGTACTTAGTATCATATAATGCCCGCATGACTATTTTTTTAATAGCTACATTTTGATTGTGCTATTTAATTTGCATTTTATTTTACATCGTTAACAACTTTACTGAGGCCAACTCATCATCCATCAAGAAAACTGAGAATATGTTCTACAGTCTTTATTATTCCTGGATGTAAGTTACTATGCTGGTTATAGAAATTGGGGATAAGAAATAATTTTGATATTGCTGACAGAATTTAAATATCTCCAAGACTTAGCACTAAAAAGTGCTTTATGGAAAGCTTAATATTCTCTTGATCAGTGGTAGAATGTGTTCACTAGCAAAGAACGTAATCCTGAATTTTCAGTCCTTGGAATCAGTGGGGTTACTAAATGGAGGTTCTCTTCGATATGAACACAGATATTGGAGGCCAACTCACCACACAGTAACTTGAATGCTGAGTAGGAAGCAGGGAAGGAAAAAAAACCAGTCACTGGTGTCTCAGGTACTTGAGCCAGAGAAACCAGGCACAGTAAACGAGTATGAATTATGCTGTTTCACTACATCAAGAATTGCAAATCACAGGACAGTGGCTGGTTAGACTTCTTTGATCCCCAGCTGAGTTGGTTCAGATACATTTAGGGCAGAGTTTCATTGATCTGCTTTAGTCTATTAATCATTCACGGAAGATTCTAGTTGTACCCCAAGACTACTGGGACAAAACAAGTTTTCAGCCAGCAGTAATCATGGTCGGGTTCTCAATCTCCAGAGATTCCATCTCCTTTTTCCATCCTTTATTGCAGTGAGCCAGAGCTTGGGAACATATTCAGGTTTCAGTGTGTGTTAAATGAGCTACCAAAATTAGCTTGAAGTGTGACAAGTTGCAATCTGTTGTTGAAGGGAAATCAGAGAGGAAATTAAATACTTTTATTGTAATTGGGACTGAGCAGTGAGCTAGCTCATTGTAATTGGGACTGAGCAGTGAGCAGAACGGGTTGAATACAGCTATTGAGATGGAGATACAGGAGTGTTAGAGTGCTCCCCAGAAATCCCTCTTTTTTTTTAATTTGTTGCAAAAGGATTGCTTCATAAACTGCTGGGCTCACAGGCATTTTTGGATAAGAAACAAATGAAAACTACTGAAGTATGTTCTGCTGGGCTTGGAAGACTGTCTTGGAGGCACTGTGGGTTGACTGTAGATGCATTTTCCTATACCTCACCCACAGCAACCTTTGGCAAATAAAAGCCAATAAATTGGCTGTTGGCAGATGCAGGCATTTTGCTTTCCATCTTGCCTGTCCTGTGGATTAACTGCTGTTTTTGGGAGAGCGCTCAGTTACAGCGATTGTATGGAATTACACAAGCTACACCAGAGATCTCCCTGAGATGGCACAGGTGTACACGTGGTGAGAATCTGAACCATTTTGTTGGTGACAGTGCCTGTGCACAAGTAAATTGTACAGCTTCCAGAGCATCTTGTTTGTCTTCCTTAGGTG